ATCTGAACCAGCTAATCAAGGTCTTACTAGGCAAAGTCTGCAACCTTTAGCCAAAAAAAGCGTAACGGCTAATGCTAACGCTTCCACTTTGGCAGTACGTGGGAAAGGAGACCAGAGGCCGTTTTTTTTTAAGGATGTCAATGGAGGAGAGGCTTCACTATGCTGAATAAACAGCTTTTGTGAGGAAACAGCTTGTCATTTAATGAATCGATTTTCCATCGGCTAATCTTGAACATGTTTTACACTAAACAATACTTTTGGATTGAACTAGTTTTAGAGTTTACACAAAAAAAAATCAGTTTTTATAAGACAAGTCACTGACTTTTTGCAACAGGTGGGATACAGCTTACGGCACTTATCATTTATTCCTATGGTATCTGTAAATGGCGATTGAATATCGTACATCTCTGACACACATGTGATCCAAGTTGATCGTTACGCTTTCTCCAATAGTAAGTAATACAGACCCTCTCATCTCCCAATAGTAAGACTATCTCTGTTACTAGGTATACGTGAACCTTCCAGGCAGGTGTGCTGAGGTAAGTTGAAGCTAAACTCTCCAGGACTGAGTTTGGTGACCCCTGGTTTAAATTCTACAATATCTCACATCTTCACCTTACAGCCACAATAAATAAAGTAAAAACATTCAAAGAAACTATAATAATAATAATAATAATAATAATAATAATAATAGTAATTTTAATAAAATTATTATAGTTTTAAATAAAACAATAATAATACAAATAAATAATAATATTTGTGTTAATAAATTAATAAACAAATATGCAAAGAAAACGGGAAATAATAATAATATAGAGAGAAGGCCGGTCACTCACTGTCAAGCAGTTCTAGACTGCTGGGTCTGATGGCAGCCGCGTCCAACATGGTTACTTTTGGCCTGCTGTACATGAGACCCCTACAGGGGAGGCTTAAGACCAAGGGGTTCTCCCCGAGGGGAAACCCGCTTCGCATCGTAGTGTCTCGTTCCCTTCGGGGAACTATGGTTACATATGTAACCTGGAGACATTTTTTCAGAAGAGAGGCCCACTGTCAAAAGCTTTACAAACACCTGCTTTAGAAAAAACACTTATTTCTAATTCATCTATGGCCTGATTTTAAAGGTCACTACAGGTGTGTGTATTTGTGTGTGTGATTGTGTCAGGTGTTGAAGGACTCCCGCCTCATTATCCTCACCTTGCTACCAAGCAGAATCACAGGGCCAGTCTAATAGTCCTCTGGTAATAGTGTATCTCTCTTTCTCCTGGACTCAGTTCATTAGTTTTACTTCAGCTTGACACCTAACATCACAGCAGAGAGTCAATGATGTCATTCTCACACAAACAAGAACCCTCTTCCCTGGCCACTCATGGGCACTGAGTCCAAGTTTCTATGGTAATGTTAGCAGTCTTCACAGTAATGACATGATTTGTGAGCTTGGCTAAGCTCCTTCCTGTTTGGCTGAATAAAAGGAAGCCTTTCAATGACACACGCTCTGTCTCTTCCTCAGTAACAGCTGTTTGTGTCGACCAGAATAAGCTCTAAATCTTCCTACAATCTTCCTTCATTCAACGTCCTGTTGACTTTGATCAATTCGGTGTCCGGGATTTGACTCTTAACTTCATTATCAAGATTTACAGTCTAAAAGAGGCAGAACACTTCGGTAAAACCTACAAATGAAAAAAAGTGACTGACAGCTAACTGAAAGTAGGGATGCTATGGGCTAAATTTTTCAGTAGTGTGACAGTAGCTCATCAAAATAGTGCAGCTTTTCCAGTAACAAGCTATTTTTACAAGCACTATATTGTTGTTTTTTATGTCACATATTGCTAACGCAGCCTTACAACAGAGCGAGCAGCGGCAATAATCAAACGTACTCTCTCAGAAAGTGTCTCGCTCTCTCTCAAGTACCGCTGGGAAGACCAATTAATTTTAGCGAATTAGTTTGTTTCGGACGATGCATTTCAATGAACCAGCTCCAAAATTTAATTTGTCTTTTCATGACATACAGTGTTTTTCCAGTCACTGTGCAGCATTGTACATCTTTCAGTTTTGTATATTGTTAAATACTGCCATTTGCCATTTTATTGGTGAAAAAAGGGCACTGGGAAAAGACGCAAGACACTCATGAATCAAAAGGAGCACATTGGAATGTGGACTGACCGCAAAGCCAACAATTCTGTCAGTTGTATTTAGTGTAAATTCACGTTCAAGCCTTCACTAGGTGTCCATCCATCCAAAATCCATTAGAGGTATACATTAATTGCACTACAAATTCATTTACTCACCCTCAGGCCATCCAAGATGTAGATGAGAATAACAACAGATTTGTAAAACCTTAGCATTATATCACTTGTTCACCAATGGATCCTCTGCAGTGAATGGGTGCCGTCAGAATGAGAGTCCAGCTGATAAAAATATCACAATAATCCACAAGTAATCCACACAACTCAAATCCATTAATTAATGTCTTGTGAAGTGAAAAGCTGCATGTTTATAAGAAAAAAATCCATCATTAAGGCATTTTAACTTTAAACCATAATTTCTGGTCAAAATATGATTCCATAATCCATAATGATACTTCCTCCAGTGAAAAAGTTCATTCCTTATTGTCCTCTTACATCAAAATCCACTGACATATTTCAAAGCAATATTATGGATAGAGGACTCATATTTAAAATACAAATTAATACAAGTTAAAAATATCTAAATAATGGATTTCTTTCTTACAAACACACAGTTTTTCACTTCACAAGACATTAACTGATGGACTGGAGTCGTGTGGATTGTTGTGATGTTTTTATCAGCTGTTTGGACTCTCATTCTGACGGCACCCATTCACTGCAGAGGATCTATTGGTGAACAAATGATGTAATGTTACATTTCTCCAAATCTGTTCTGATGAAGAAGAAAACTCTACATCTTGGATGGCAATGAAGGTGAGTACATTTTAAGCTAAATGTAATGTACTGAACCAAGCTATGTTTTGTAACTTGTAGTGCTATGTTTTTGAAAAGAATAATTCTAACTTCTTTAAATTACGAGTAGCTTGCTATAGTTTCAAGTTAATTTCCCAAATGATGCTAAATTATGGAAGCCTAAACACATCATACACATGGTCTCATGTTGTCTGGCTTTTTGTTACAGACTTTATGGTAAGTGTTTTCACTCAGTCTTGAGAGGAACATGGCCCTTAAAAGAATTCAACAAATGAAGTGGAGCAAAGCTGCAACTTCACTGGGCAGCTGCTGATTAGAATCTATCAGCATTACAGCGTTCTCTTCAAGTCTCTGACAGTCAGCTCTGAAGCCTCAATCGCCATCACACACTAAGCCATTTATTTTGGAAATCCTTTGGAAGAGCAATCAAAGGCGGCATTGCTTCTCTGTTCATTATGAGTTAAACAGTATTCAAGGCTGTTGTTAGGTCTGTGTTGTATTGCTGATCCGTGCTTAGAGAATACAGGGAGGAGAAATCCATAGAGTAAAACAACAATGATTATTAAATGAATTCATCAAAAATGAGTTCAAGATGAGGTTAGACAAAATTCAGAGAAAGATGGGAACTATCAAAGCTCTTTTATCAAATGCATTGTCAAAGCAGCTAGAGTGAATAAATGACATCCTTGGTTTTATTGTGGTTTGAAAAGATACACACTTGCTGTTTTATTTGTCGAGGTGTTGCCACTTGTTCATCTGTCATTAATATGCAGTGAATCACTTTGCATGTGTAGGAAAACTTTCAAGATCTGACAATTCTTTGTAAAAAGGCTTATATTAAAAACTGTGAAGCTGCATAACCATGCAAAAATGTTTGTATGGTAGTGGCTTGACTGTTATGATTACTGTGATGATGAACACACAAAGCTTCATGGTCCTTCTAGAGAAATGAGTGTCTGTCCTCTGGGTTGGGCTTTTATATATCTGGATGAGTGATATTTTTGCTGTGGGAAAGAGTTGTACTTAATGTAATAGCTTAATGTACAGAGAAGGTCAAAGCTTCATGGTCCTTCTAGAGAAATGAGTGTCTGTCCTCTGGGTTGGGCTTTTATATATCTGGATGAGTGATATTTTTGCTGTGGGAAAGAGTTGTACTCAGCTTAATGTACAGAGAAGGTCAGTTTGTATCAGACATCCCTGGAGTTTCTTTGTTGGCTCGTCTGTCCTTTCTTTCTTTCAGTCTGTCTCTCTACTGCTTTGTTCTTTCCCATACAGAAATTTAATAAATGACATACATTGCCCTATATCAAGAGCGCCACACATGTTACCTATAAAGCAATATCTTGTGGATATATGAAGTTTTAATTTTCTAACATACTTAAAATGCCCCAACTAAAATTTGTTTATGTACAGTACATACCTGTATGAATAGCGAGAATATGTGTGAACAATATTTATAAATGCATGTTTATGAAAACATATACAAAAATGCTGTGATCATATATACACACACACACACTAAAATATAACTGCATTATATATTATAATAATATAATAAAATATAATACATTTATGTGTGACTGGCATATTATACATTTATGCGTATAAATAATTAGATATATGACACGTCATGTGTCAAAAATGTATTAATATACATACATAAACATATATATTTATATGGGCTAGATATATATGTCATGAAATCCTTCCATTTTCTAATAGATGTTTTAATTTCATACATGTCTTTACTTCATATGACAATATGTACATATGACAATAAGGACACAAAAGCACCATGAATGTATCATAAAAGTGATTCATAGGACTTATGCACTATATTCACATTGTAAATGATGTAATTAAATGATGATGACAGAATTTTTATTTTTGGGTGAACTATCCTTTTAAGTTACTTTTATGTGTTTTGTTTTGATGAGAAAGGATCAGGATTTGGAAGTTTTCAGTGATCCTGATCTTATAGATCATGTGGTTTTGTAAAAACTCTGTGTGTCTGCTCATGTGTGTGGAGATTTGAGAGTCTGGAGTGTTGTGAGGGAGACTCACTGGTTCTTTTCCACAGATAAAATCAGCTGTTGTCCTTCTGCTTGGATCAGGATGAGCAGCGAAGCGGGAGGCGTCTAAATAAATGAAAAACAAAACAATCACTTCATGTCCTGTTTTCCTGTTCCAACCAATTTACTCTAAACCCTGCATCTTGCCCATTGAAATACACACACACATACACACACAGCCTTCACACCTATGAACGACTCAGGATTTGATCCAGCACACCAGACAGAGCCATAAAGCCAAAAGCAAGACTTCCAACTGTGATTTTGCACATAATAATGTGTCAAGCACTCTGCACAGGGAAAAGGCTGATGTGTTCATGTACAGCCACTGCATCTTTATTCGCTCGACTCATTCAAAGACATGGGGAATATGAACTGAACTGCACACACAAATGTCATTTAAACAAACTGCTTCTTGACAAATAACAAAAAATAAGCTAGCAGTGAAGCCAGGTGTGTTCAAGTGAGTGGATCTTGATTAATCGTGGTGGACCTCTTTGAGGTACCTGCTCTTGGTGTTCTTTCAAAGCGAATATTTTATATTTGTTTTGTTTGCCTATATAAGACAATATACTCTATGCTTCTTTTTCACAGCATAATGTTCAGCTGCACAGTTAAGTTGTACATTTGTGGTATCTTTATCTTTTTCTGTTTATGTAGTTGATTTTAGTGCTGCATTATTCTATTGATATACATCTTAATTTGCATTTACTTAAAAAAGTATAATGGTAATACCATGTTTTTTTGTACATGTAAATGAACTATTTTCATATTGAAAATGAAGAACTTATAAGACATAAATTGTAATTTCACTGATGTACTATAAAATAAAATTAATATACTTTATGAAATACACTTGATTTTTATTTTACAGTAGAACATTATTATTACAATATATTTTTAATTTTGTGTAATATTTTAATAAATATTATTCACATTAAAAATCATAACTCCTCTTATTTTAGATTCATGTTGAATGAATCAAAAACAGTGGGAATGTGGCCTATAAAAACACAACTTCAATTCATTTTGCAAGTTCAAAAGTCATTTTGCAGTTTTTTTTTTCTATGCAGATGTCAAACATTCTAGACTGGTTCAATATTTCCAAAATTTTTCCAAATGTTTAGTAAGGTTTGGAGGTGTTTCTGTTTCTTTGAAGACCACATTAAATCAAAATTGACAATTCTTATTTTTTTATGGAATGTTGCAGTGTTTATTAAGCCTTAGAAATTTGTGCATCAAACATGATACAAAAGGCTTTATAGGGTTAAAGAGCAGGTCATACGATATTTTAAAGTGTCCTAATATTGTGTTGGAGTCCCCTACAACAGGTTTAAATGCATCTAAGGTCAGAAAACATTGTAATTTTCTCAGAATATACATTTAATATTATCATAATTTTTCAATGATTTCGAATTGATTCGTTCGAAGCAGTTCTGAGCTTAAAGGTGGGGTAAGCGATTTCTGGTAGCCAATGTTGACATTTCAAATCACCAAAACAAACACGCCCCTACCCCAAAAGGGTCTGCCCCTATTTTGATAGCTCCGCCCCACACATACATACGCAACCCAGGCAACGATTAGTTCTGTGAAACATAGCAAAACCAATGTTACACCGTGTCTACACCAGACGCGAGTGGCGCGGCGCGACAAAATACTATGGAACTTATTATCAGTGATGCTGTCTACACCATAGATATATATACATATCTATGGTCTACTCTGGATGTGGCGTGGCACGACACGACAAATCACCGACAGAAAACTGCTGCTGCGTTCTATTCATGACATTCTATTTTATCCGCCATCTCTATCTTTCTGTCGCTCGGCTCGCTAATGTCCGTCTTGTGCACTGAACCCTCTCTCCTCCACATCATGAGTAGACACACCCCTTACTGCTGATTGGCTACAAGTTTGTTTTGCTAGTCGGCCCGAATCAGTTTTCTAAAGCGTTTTTAATAATAAAAGAAAAGAAAAGAAAAGAAAAAAGAAGATTGTTCTCGTGAGTGCGGATCATAATTTCCTATACTAAGTAACTCAATTGACGCACCAAAATAAAAAGATCAAGTAACGCAAGACCGCAGTGCAAACGACGTTGTGAAAAATCGCTTACCCCACCTTTAAGGTCTGTAAACCCCTCCCTTCCACAAGCCTGCAAATGTGTTACCTTGTGACGTATATAGGTAACAGGCAGAGGATTTTGAAAATATGACGACTCATTAAGGCGGTTCAGAGTCTAATCTTTCTTTTGAGAGACAATATCTTTATTTATCATGCACTTTTTTGATTAACAACTTTGCAGACTGTTTACATTGAAGGATAGCTACGTTACAAACTGCAAAAAATATATTTTTCAAAAACCCATATGACCTGCTCTTTAAAAAATGCATGTGTGCACACAGATCCTGAAATATTTCTGAATAACTCTTCAACTTTCCCTTTATTATAATAGAATGACCATCTACTTTTCCTTGCTAAACAGCTGATAGAGCATATCTTCCTCCCTCACTCCAGCTGTAGTGATATGGCTTTGGGCCATCAGTCAGGCCTCTCGTGGCGCAGGCCGACAAGTCCTTTATTCTGAGTGGAATTTCCTGCCTGAAATACGCTACCCTCACCACAGCCTCAATCTCCACCTGCAAATGTTTAATCGCAATCACCTTGAAAAGCAAAGCAAAGCCAACCATTCTCTAGCACTGCATTTTCATGACATACAAAACTTTTCCCTAACAATGCATTAAAGACATTTCCAACATTTCAGACAGTTATGAAAAGCTCTGGGAGTTGAGTTTCCAATGCCTAAGCCTCCGAGCACACATGAATTCACTGTAAAATGGGCAGTGAAATGGCCTCTAAGAGCCATGTGCCGGAGTCAGACATTGCTCTGAGCTACTGAAGACGTTTGACTGTAATATTCACTGGAGCTCGAGTAACTCAGTGTGGAGACTGGAATCAATTAAGCCTTAATGACAAAGGCCCCGTGACTTTTTCCGACAATGTCGCTACGACTTCAGGCAGTTAATCTAATCTAATGTACTCCAAAACACTTTTCAACATTCATCACCTCATCACTCAGCCTCCGTGCCTCTGGTGCCGTTTGGCAGTCAGGCCTTTCACTCATTTTCACAAAGGACCCTTTTAGAGCTAAAAGGCTGTGGCTCAATAATGATACTGACTATGGTAGTCATACATTGTGAACTAATTTATACCGTAGTCCTATGTTATACCATTTCGAACTGAAGTGAACTTGCACTGGACTCAATATATTATCCATCTGAAAAGAATATATGCTACTCAGTGCTATTCAAAATAAAAAATTCATATAAAAAATATAAACACCAGCAACGAGACATCATGATGGACGGGAAAATGACTTTCTAGAGGTTTAGGAAAATATGTGAAAAATGATGCAGCAACAATATACAGTGTTCTTTCTTACTCTGGAGCGGAGCCAGCTGATTGGTCTCTGCTCTGTTCCTTCCAGCAGTAGCGGTACCATGGTGTGGTAGTGTTCCAGTTTGTTGAGCACACTTTTTAGTTGCCTCCCTGAGACAAGCAACAACAAAAAAAAAGCTCCCATTAGTATTGCAGTGAAGTAACAGTGACACATATGTGATGCAGCTGAGCTCTCTCTCTCTCTCTCTCTGTGTGTGTGTGTGTATGTGTGTGTTTTGGAGGTACACAAGAAGTTCAAATGACCAACAGTTAAAGGTGGAATTATAAGCTAAAGAATTAGGACCAGCATGAACAGATGGGGAGATAAAGGCCATTAACTCAATAGAATTTGTAGTCCTAAAACTTGGAAGAGAATTAGTATGTAACTTATGGGTTCCCTCTGGATTTATTATGGGATTTTAGGATGGTGCTTTTCAATTTACATATAAAATAAGGTCTGTGTTTAAAGATGCACTATATAGGTTATTTAGGGTAAAAATAAACAAAATTCGATTATTGAGCATTCCATGGTTGCTATCTCAATTCACTATGCTAAGCCTACAATAATGATATATAGTAGTCAGTCACATTTGGTGACCGTTCAAAGAACGTCTGGCTACTACACTGATAAAAAATTGGTGTAGGATATAGGAAGCAATTTACTACAATTTTCACTCAGAAATTGTTAGTGAATTTCACAAGTAATTACAAAGAAACTGCAACTAACACAGTGAATTAAAATTGAATTGAAATTCTGAAGTAGAAAAAAGCAGCCTTAGTTCCGGAAGTGTTTTTCCCATAGGGATTTGAAAACATCTTTTCTAAAAGGTTACAAGTTGTGAAACAAACCAACCAGCTACAAGATAAAACACAATATTACAAACTTTCATTTGCAGCAAAAATTAAAAAGTGTTTGAAAATCAGACAAAAAGACAAAGGTACAAAAATCATGGGTAATGTAGTTTTTCCACCAGTAATTCTGCTGTTAAATATGATTATTTAAATAGTAAGTTGAAAGTTGCAGACTGATGGCTTCACGGTAGGTCTGTATTTAAAGGTTACTGTTTAAAGGGGTCATATGATGCTTTTTTAAAGATCTTTATTTTGTGTATTTGGTGTAACAGAATATGTTGACATGCTTTAATGTTCTCTCTCTCGCTCGCTCTCTCTCTCTCTCGCTCGCGCTCTCTCGCTCGCTCTCTCTCTCTCGCTCACACGCGCACGCACACACACACACACACACACACACACACACACACACCGCTCTCTTTCTCTCGCGCTCTCTCTCTCTCTCGCTCTCGCTCGCGCGCGCACGCACACACACACACACACACACTGCTCTCTAGAGTCTTAACTTTAATAAAGAATATTTCTTTGGTTTTGAGACTTTAGTCTTTGCAACTTCAGGGATCTTATCTATGCACAATCAGCTTGTAACACTCCAAAGAGAAAGGAAAACTTGAAATCGCATCATATGACCCCTTTAAGTCATTGTTAAAAATCAATTACTTCTTCGAGAAAATAAACGGTAATTTTTACTTCAAAAACCCAACTGTTGCACACTATGATGGCAGATATGGTACTTGCTACCATGCAACGTAACTTGCAATTTTATGTTGTAGAGAGGTCAGCGTTTCACAGTACTTTAACAATTTTTTTCCATAATATAAATGACAGTCCCACATCCTTGTGCTTATGTAAAAAAAAAGCTTATGTATTCAACAACTGAAAGAAATTTCTGTATAAAGAAAAAGGAGGTTGACTGACAGTTGACTGCTGTCTTCCACTCAAATCAGACAGTCAGAATTTTTACTGTCATACTTGGAAATGTGCAACAGAACAGCACATGATGTCGGAAATTTCAATTTATAAATTAGAAAAAATTTGCATTCTTTTGAAATGTAAGTTTCTAACACATTGCTACATATAGTATGAATTACAGTGGTTGTTACATCAAGCACATAAACCCACATCCTTGTGCTTATGTAAAAAAAAGCTTATGTATTCAACAACTGAAAGAAATTTCTGTATAAAGATAAAGGAGGTTGACTGACAGTTGACTGCTGTCTTCCACTCAAATCAGACAGTCAGAATTTTTACTGTCATACTTGGAAATGTGCAACAGAACAGCACATGATGTCGGAAATTTCAATTTATAAACTCATAAGGAAACTCTGACAGACGAAGATCGTGAACATGGCGGCACCCTGGGAGATTAAATTAAATATATTCACTTTTATGTGCATACAATGATGAATCAAAGGAATGCTTGATAAATTAGCATTCCAGTTTGGGCTACAATTTGACTGAAAACTTTTTCATAATGTATGAAAAAGAATGCAGTGTATGAATAAGTATACTAAGCCCATGTCATAATTTGACATCAGTATTTCTTAAATACAACTAAAAGTTTGAGGCCACTGATGAATATGTTTCTGTTTTGGTCTTTTTTATTACAAAATTTCATTCTTTTTCTTAAACTGGCATGTAATGAGAAGAATGATAAACTTGGATTGACTGGCTTCTGTGTTTCGTGAGTGTAGTTGCCGTCATCAGTCTAAATCAAAAGTCTTCTCTCTTTTCTCTCCCCTCAGTGAAAGCATCGTGCCCCCACAGGGCCAAAGCATTCCATCCTCAGCTGAACCTCAACACTACGGCATCCATTATGAATGAGGGCGACAGACACGGAGAGAGAGCAAGAAATGATGAGGAGGTGTAAGAGAGAGAGAGACAGCACAACATGTTTTTTTCTCAGCTCTCTGAGGGTCGTAAGCCCTCCCTTAGTTATTTCTTTCTCTCCCTCACTGTGACTCACATACAAACACCTGTCATATTTTTTTTTTTTTAGAAAAAAAAAGTGTTAATATTCTATTTACATTTGTTATATTTATAATTAGAAAGTTCTCTGGAAAACTTGGTCTAATTGGTCACACTGAAGTATTATGTAATGATATATAAAAACGATCCTTCAGAAATCCTTCCTGATATGCTGATTTGGTTATCAATTATTATAAATTTTTTTGAGCAGCAAATCAGCATATTAGAATGATTTCTGAAGGATCATGTGACATTGACGTAATTCAGCTTTGCCATCACAGAAATGAATTATATTTTAAAATATAAATAAATTGAAATGGAAAAGTTATTTTAAATTCTACTTAAAAGTTTTTATTGTATTTTTTATCAAATAAATGCAGCCTTGGTTAGCAAAATAAGCTTCTTTCAAAATCACTAAAAACTGGTAGTGCATTTCATATATCAGTCATCTGCATTAAAAAAGTACCATGGTATTTCCATGTATCATGGCAATTCTATTGTATTCTTTGTGGTAAATGCATGAATATGGTAATTATTCAGTACAGTTCTTTCAATGATTTAAACATGGATTAAATCCAAGTACTGTTGTATTACAATCCAGTATCACAACTATAATATAGTACCTTTTTTAAAGGTCAGAACAAAGATACTGAACCTCAAATAGAGTAGAACAAAATTATATGATCACTACACAATTGCAGTGAGACACTATAGGAACCAAGCAGCTCCTGAAAACACATACTTAGTGCACTAGTATGCCATAAATAGAGAACATATATACTCAGTGAGAATCTTGTCAGCTCATAATAACACATATTTGGTCTGCAGGGCACACTGGGCTCATAGCTTTCCGCTGCTGGTTTGTCAGACACCCATTATTACCCATGATTCAGCATTCTGAGGGAGACAGGAAGTGGCAAAGCACTCTGGAAACGTCTTTTCTCCCCAGTGGGAAGCTATCACTCACATTTCAATATGTGTTTGTGCACATCCTGTCATTTTGGATATAATTTATAGCACACAAGCACACATATGCACAAACTCCCACACTTCCTTTACCCAGACCCAATTTCCTGTTTGTCATTATCATTCTCCTTCTGCTCTCTTTGTCCAAGATGGATTCAATTCAGGAAGAGGCTTTGCACACTAGAACAAAGCTAACATTTGTGCGTAATCGGGAAGTGAGTAATGAAATTAAATTGAAAGACTGTCATGATTTATATCAATTATATCTATTATATCTATTTACAATAAATAAACTAAAGACACACATGGATAGATGAATAGATAATATACTGAATCAATGAATCCTAAATATTGCATCAAAACTACACTTGAAAAATGGCATCAGATAATTAAACCATGTGCTTTAACCCTATACATCCTACTGTATCATATTTAATTTCTAAGGACTCTAAATTATCAAAATGATAAAAAATCTGCTGAAAACCCCGTTGAACGCAACATACTACACGCCTTCTATTGTCTGTTTCTGGAAGATATAGAGTGACAACTGATATTTATATGCATTTTATGCAAGTAATTTGCTATATTGTTAAAAAAAAGTTCTCATTGATTTGCATTACAGTCAATTAATTAATTAATTAAATTGTTTTGTCTAAAGGTTCAATAAACTGTTTTTTTCTGTAAACACACACACACACACACACATATTTTTACTGTAGTATCAAATAATTATGTCATAATGATAGTATCAAATGTGCTATTCATGGTATTTAAGGGACTTCAAAAAAAAAAAACCTTCCTATACTTCTCGTCATAATGCAACAGAGTCACACACCATATCAGCAAAACTACCAGAGTTCAAGGCATTTCATTGTCACCAGTATTCACACACCATCCAATCTGTAAATAACAATGTTTTTGCACATAGTGTCTAACTTAGGTAAAACTTTCCCTGCATCTAAATAGAGTGCAACAGTGGGGAAGTAAACATCACATTCACTTTCTCCACACAAACAGGTTTTTAAAAACAATGTATAAAATCTCAAAATGGACCTACCATGAGCTCTGCAAGTTATTAAATCAATGGTATATGCTTCAGTTGAATTTGTCAGTCAACATTATTTCAATTTTTAATAGCATTCTTACAGTTTCAAACAACTCAAATTTATTTGACTATTTTTCAATAAACATCAACTATTTTGTTTTTATACCTGTAATAAATCTACATAGATAGTTTTACATGATACATTAATAGTTTTATATTGCATCTAGACTTGTGCCAGTATTCGGTAATGCGATATATCACGGTAATGAATATGCACGATATT